GAGCGGCCACTGCCCCCTGGAGGACACTCCCAGAATTCTTTTAAAAAAAATTTATTATTGATTTCAGGGAGGAAGGGAGAGGGAGAGAGAGAAACATCAATGATGAGAGGATCATTGATGCCTCGGCTGCCTCCTGCATGCCCCTCGCTGGGGATCGAGCCCACAACCCGGGCCTGTGCCCTGACCTGGAATCAAACCGTGACCTCTGGGTGGGGAGTGGCCAGAGTGTGTCTCAAGGACGGGGGCAGGGGGTGGACCTCGCCTCCCCATGTGCTGAGTGTGACGCAGCAGGTCCCAGGGCGAGCACCACGGAGGCCTGGCTCCTGACACGTTTAGAGGACCCGCCAGGGCGTCCGGAGGCCGTGGAGCCTGGGCCGTTTCTGAGGTTTGGGGGCCCCTGGGATGTGGTCGGAGCCAGAGTGCAAAGCGCGGTCCCTCCCGAGGTCACCAGGGCTGAGGTCACCGCCCCCATCGATGGCTCTCACAGCAGCAGCTCCGGTTGCTGAGGCTTTGCCCTCCTGGCCTGGGTGCTTACTCAGTGGCCCTCGGAGGGATGGAGGAAAGTGGGGGGCTGGTGGGTCTCTCGCCATTTAACCTTGACCGTCACCATCCATACAGGGAAGGAACCATCCACAGACCCAAGTCAGGGGCCTCTGGGGAACCTCTCAGAGGACCCCAGTGCATCCCCGAAACCCCAGGGTCAGCAGCAGTCCCTTGGCCACCGGCCAGGCCCCCCTCCAGGCTGCAGCCAGGAAACGTGACCCCTGCCTGCCCCAGCACAGGGCGGGGGGGCGGTGGGTGGGTTCTGACGGTGCCTTCTCTCCCGCAGACTGCTCGGCCATGACCACGGCGTGGTACCGGCCCACGTGGGACCTGGCCCTGGACCCGCTGGTGTCATGCAAGCTGTGCCTCGGCGAGTACCCAGTGGAGCAGATGACCACCCTGGCCCAGTGCCGCTGCGTCTTCTGCACGCTGGTGGGTGCCGGCCCTTCCGCGGGGGGCGTCAGGGTTTGCTTTCGTGTCTGCAGACCACACCCTTTTTTGGTAATATCCTACATTATAAAGGGGTAATATGCAAACGGTCACTACGCCGTGACGCATAACGGCCAACAGCAGGAGGGCGGGGCAGCGAGCTACTCGCACACGGATTCGTGCGCAGGGCTGCTCGCGTGTATGTATTTGTATGGATCTCAGAGAGGAGGGGAGAGGGAGAGAGAGATGGAAACATCAGTGATGAGAGAGGATCATGGATCGGCTGCCTCCTGCACGCCCCACCCTGGGGATCGAGCCCCAACCCGGGCCTGTGCCCTGATGGGAATCAAGCCGTGACCTCCGTGACCGCCTCGTTCATAGGTTGACGCTCAGCCACTGAGCCACGCTGGCTGGGCCACACCTCACTGTCCACGTGCAGTTCCATGCTGGTGGGTGGCTCAGCTGGAATCCCGAGCCACCTGCGGCTCCCGCTGGTTTAAACCAGAACGGGCACGGGTTGAATCCCATGCAGATCTCGGTCCGACGGGGCCTTGTGGGGCCGAGGGATTTGCTCATCACGATTGCAGGGCCTCGGTGCCGTCCGCCCTCCTCGGACCAGCCCTGTGCTCGTCGGGAGGGGAGAGTCGGGCAGGGCTCATTTCCACTTCATTTCATTTAATCCCTTGGTTTTTCTTCCCACTCAGACTCCAAAAAAGAAAGAACCGTTTTCTCCCAACTTTAAAGACAACAAAAGTCTCTCCTGAGTGTAGCTGTTCCCGGGGGCCCTGTGGGTGGCCGGCTCGGGCACTGACCTGTTGGGTAATAACCCGCCACCCACAGTCCTTTCTGCCTCAGGGCTCGGCCTTGCCCTCTGGGGAGCCGCGAGCACGTTCTTTGGTGACTGGGTTTTCACGTCGGACAGAGGGGAGGGTCATCGGTCCCGTGAGAATACCGAGAGGCGGTCAGGAAGCAGTGGGCAGTACCGCGCTGCCCTTTAGCAGAGCGACCCGGCCCTC